TTATTAATGACTTATTAGATTATATAAGGCCATCTGTAGCACAGTTTCCTGCTCTTTCCCTTCCCCTCTCCACATATGCAGACATCTCATACCCTTTCCCTCCAGTAGAGCTATACTGTCTTTTCTTTTGTACCAGGAATTGAACTCAGGACTTTGAACTTTCCAAACAGATGCTGTGCTGCTGAGCTATATTCCCGGTCCAGTAGAGTAATACTGTAATTTTTATTATGTTAATATTACATGTCAGTACATTATTATGTCTATATAGATTGTAGTTAGACTAGACAAATTAGCTAAGTGTGAGCACTATTAGTTTCCTACACATTTTGTTTTCCTTGGAGTTAAAATTATTTTTCTTCCTCTTCAGTTTTCATATGTTTAATCACAATTCAACCTCTCTTCAATAATTTTTTAAATCTTCTCTTAAGAGTCTTTCTGAGGACTCTCCTATTGAGTTTTCTTTTTATCTATAATATTTTTAATTTGTAAAAGCTCTTGTTTTTGTCTGAACATTTCTTTAGTATAGTATTATGTTCTTGTTTCATTCTCTGTAGATGTTGGTGGCTATTGTTTTTATGTTTTCATTTTTCTGCATACTCTGTGTTTCCTCCAAGGTGCTTTAAATCTATTGTTTGGGTCTCTATCTCTCAAATTACATGCTGGCTGCTAAAGTTTAATAATTTTATCTAATAATTCTGGGTTGTCTTCTCATTTTACATTAAATATAGTTAGATATGGAAATATATTATGATTTTCTCACATTGGAATGCATTGTCTTTTCATATTTTGCAGTCTTGCCTTTTTTCTTTCTTTAAACAGAGTCTCGTTATGGAATACAGGCTGGTTTCAGACTGGAGAGAATCTTGCCTCACTTTCCCAAATGCCTGGATCACAGGCATATGCTACCAAGCCTGGCTGGTAGTACTTTAGTACCTCATTGACCACTCGGAGTGTATGAAGACATTAGAGGTCATGAATTTTTGTGGCGTGATCAGTTTGGGATATTTACTTAAGAGACTTCTAACATCTTCAGAATTTTCCTCGTGGATTGATACTATTTCCCAGAGACCTTCAGCCTCATCCCTGGATGATAAAGGCCTGGCTACCACGGCATACAGAATTGAGTCAGGGGAAATGGTTAACTTCATTTAATCTTCCAGTTTTCAAAATAGTTTCCACACCATCAGTTTTGTCCTTTTGCATTTAGACCAGAGATGTACTTTAGAAAATAAACCTCTGATTTTCAGTGAGTAGAGCTGAAGTTAATTCAAAAATTTTATAGATCAGAATTTGTCCAAGATTGTCTGTTTATAGTTCTGGTACATTTTGGGGTGAAAATGCTTTTAGAATTCCCAAGGACAAATAATTGTTCAATAAAAATAGTATAAAAATTTAGAGCATCATACATGCATTTCAGTTGTAATGGTTTATATTCCAAAGGCTCGTTGTACACTGTAGATGGAAATAATGACGGGTACTGAAGACCTCGCTTGGTCACACTATGATCTCTGAGCCTCCTGTCCCCTTGTAAGAAGGCAGGACGGCGTGACATGTCCCTCAAGAGCAGTAGCCACACTCAGTGGCTGCACTGTGCTGAGCTCCTGCCACACCACATTGGATATCTTGGAATATCTTTTCAGACTTTCTCCCTGAGATCAAGTGAAATTTCAGTGTAAAAATAAATATTTGCTTTTGATACTTAAAGTAAAATTCAATCCCTGGCATTTTTCTATAGTGGAAGAGTCCCTAAAGCATTCTGTCCAACAGAACATAACCTTTCCTAGTGTCCTATTTGAAAAGCAAAGGCATCAAAGAATTGAAGGAAAAATTCCTTTTCAACTATAGTACTGTAATAGGACTCCTTTCGTGTTTTCAAAAGATTTTAATCTCTATCTAGGCTTGAGTATTATATTATTTCTGACAACATCTGATGTTTAAAAGGTCTTGTTAATAAAATTTAGGCCACCTTCTGGTTGATTCATTGGGAGTGATAACTCATCCATCAGGCTTTCTAATATTTTTCCTGTAAATTAACTTTGGAGCTTTGAAACATATGAAATAATCAAATCACTGTTATTTGAAATAGATACAGTGTGTCACGATGCAGTTTGGTTTATAATGGAAGCTCATTACCATACTCATTACTGTGAATTATAGGAGGTTCCTGGCTGGCCTTCATTAACCATCTGGCTTTAAACATTGATTTGTGGTTAAGTATGTTATTTTTAGAAAAGAGCACCTGAAGATCTACTGAAAACATTTGTCTCATCTTGTTCTACATATTTTTAAAGGCCATGAATCTCATGTTGTTTTTAAAAAAAATCAACTTGCAGATTTTAGTGTATCCCCATCTTTAACCCCTTTGATTTCTGTATTATTTATCTAAAGGAAATCAGCTGTGCCAACAAGTCTTGATCCTATAAGCTGCTATTCCTTAAAAAAATTCCCTAGGAAAAGAAAACAGGAGACAAATCTAATTCTGTAGATTTCCATTCCAAAGTGATGAAAAATTCTATATACTTTTAAGCTAAATGCTGAAACACTTCAAGCTCAGTGAGAGGATACGAAAAGCATCCATTTATTAACAGAGTCAAAAATATTTCTTGAGCATCTTTTAGAGAATATTACAGGTATAGAGATGCTAGAGAGATAATAGTAAATAGCAAATGCCCTGCTAGACAACAAACAGAAGAGAAGGCAAATAATCAAGATAGGAGACCTCTGTGCCTACAGTTCATGCTTGAAGTTAGAAGCGACGGTAAGGAGCAGATTCTATAGGGTCATTATAAGATATTTTGATTTCATTTTCATTTTTATTTATACTTTCAAAACATTATGGGTATGAGATGGAAAAACAAGCCTAAGAAGTCAAAAGTTGAAAGATAGAGACTATTAGTAATAGAACTATAGTAGTCAACATGATAGATAAGGAGCATCTGGACTAAGATAACTGCAGAAGAAATGGAGAGAAATAGGGGTGCATTTTGGAGATCTAACTACTATGGGGAACTGATGCACTGAATACAAATAATCAGGGAATGACAGTAAGCCAGGGTGACTTCTAGGATTATTTTGCTGGTCAGGGTGTGTGTTAGGCAAGGGCACTACCACCGAGTTACATTCTTAGCTAAACGTCAAGGATTTTGGATTAAAGAAATGAATGAACAAAGGTACTATTTACTGAAATGAATAATTCTGCTAGAGTAATAGATTGGTGTATTAGAGTTTATTTTTTGACACGATAAATCTGAGGTGTCTATTAGCCTTTAAAATGTAAAGATAAATAAGAATGTGATTTGTGTTAGAATTGGGTGGAGTAAGGAGCTCAGTGGCTAAAAGAATTGTCCAGATGGAGCAGACCTTAAAGAGCAATACCCTTGAACTCCTCTCCTCCCCTGTAGCTATCCCTTCTTGTTCTGGTGCAGACAAGATTGGCAACCATGTCCTATAAACAGAGTTTATGTCATCTTCTTCTTACAGGATTCCTAAGGCTCTGTCTTCTTTCAAGGTTAAGTTATTATATTGTCTTGCTTCTGTACCCCTTTCCACCAGTTTCTAAGTGGCAAATGTTTAACACTAGCACCCTTCTTTTGTTCTGGTGCTCAGCTATTTTGGACATCATAACGTCAAGATGAAATGATGTACACCTGAAACCCAATAAATCCTCTGCTTTCCCCATTGGTCTCTCTGATCTTTGGGATTCTGCCACACAGAGGTCAGAAGGCTGAAAGCTCAAGAGGAGGATGCTGAAATAACCCCAAGAGCAAAGACAGTAGAGGGCAATGACCACTTTCAAGCTTCAGAATACGGGGAAAGGAGTGGACATAAGAGAGGGCAAGTGGCTTGGTTGGCAAGGGAGTACGGTGTGGCCCATCCCTTGGGTACACTCAGATGGGCGAATGTTATGGGAATGGAAGTTGCAGCCATTTGAGGGCTGCTACCTGAGATTCCCCTGTCATAAGCCAAAAAATAGGATGCATAGTAATCCCGTTCTCTTGGTTCTGGTGTTTGTCTGATTCCCATTGGTAGACCAACACAGGAGCCTGCCTGGAGGGGGAAATAAGGGAAGGATATTTAAATAGTCCCAGCTCACACAATGCAGCAGACAAGCTAGGAACTAAGAAATGGGTTTTGAATATTTCCTGATCTTTAATGTAAGAGAGCAATTCTGTTTTCAGGGTAGGAGTGCTGTTCTTATATGCATGTAAAATGAAAGCTACGAAGCTGGGTGGGGCAGTACGCTGATGGCCCCACAAAGGACAGTCACATCTGCTTGCACGTGGAGCAGACCTAGGTCAGGCGTGGTGCCCAAACCATTTTCTTTCTCAGGCTGAAACCAGAACATGTGTTTCCTTCCTTCTCCCACCATAGAAGAACCAGACTTAATTACTTCTCAAAACTTTCTAGAAAAATAGTTTGTGTATCAAGGTGCAGGTAACATATTTCATTATCCACATCTTCATTCATTCAACATTTATGGAGAGTCTGTTCTCTGTTTGACATAGCTCAAAATGTTGGAGACCCAGGGATAAACATTGCAAAACCCCTATCCTTACTGACCTTAAACACTAGGAATTTAGAGTGTTGTGCCAGAGGGAAGATTAGTAATAAACATATAAACAAGTTTTAAAGTGACATATTCCCAAGTAGAACTAAATACTGTGAAGAAAATCGAATGGGTTGCTCAGTATAAGTGATGTGGCAGGACCACTTTAGCCACGATGAACTCTATTTCACTCACATTTTTTTTATTATTTATCTTTTATCCATTTTTTTTTTTTTGATGCCAGGGGTCAAACTCATGACCTCACGCTTGCCAGGCAGGCGCTTAAGCCACTGAGCTAAATCCCCAGACCCAATCTCATTCACATTTTAGTAATAGCACAGTTACCACAAAATAGGCTGATTCTTTCAGTAAGATAAAGCTGTTACTGGCTCCAGAGGCAGACTTTTCATAGAGAGCTAAAAGATAAGCAGAGTCAGGTAGATAAGATCAGGAAATCATTCCCGGCTGAAATGGTAGCAAATACAAAGTTCCTGAGGCTGATTCAGAGCACCTATGGTAGAATTAGTCTCTCTCTTTTTTTGTACCAGGGGTTGAACTCAAAACTTTGTGCTTGCAAAGTAGACAGCAGGCCGCTGAGCTAAATATCCAGCCAGGATTAGAATCTTTTTTTTTTTTTTTTATTTAAGGAGAAAAGAAAAGAAAAAAAAAACAGTGAAGGGGTACAAGTTATACAGATTTACAGAAGAAAAAAATGCGCAGTAGGAAATCACTAGTTAATGGATTACATATTGCCATCTTAGAAATAATTGTTCAAGTCATAAAATTAAAGCTTGTAGAGTTGGAAGAATCTTTTTAAAAAGAGGAGACTCCAGCATTTCCTGTCACTACCATGTACAGATACAGTGAGAAGGCAGCCATCAGCAAGCCCAGAGGAGGCGCTCAGGAGCATCCAACCACGCTGGCACATTAATGTTGGACTTTCCAGCCTCCAGAATTTGATAAATAAATGTCTGTTCTTTAAGAGATCCAGTTTAAATTCTTTTGTTACAGCAGTCCAAGTTGCCTAAGCTATTCCTCTAGTCAGTGACTGTATGATGCTCTACTGTTTAAACTCCTAGTTTAATCATTTTACTGTCATAATTAAATTATTTGCAACTTTATCATTATAAACAGTATTTAGAGCTGTATCATTCTAAATATGGTTTTGCACATTAGAATGACTGTATCTGTAAGAAAAGTCCTAGCGATGTGTGTACGTTATAGATTTTGGGGTGTTCACTTTATGTTGCAGTATAAGTTTCCAAATAGACTTGCAAAGAATTTGTCAGTTTCAAATTTCACACTTTCACTAACAAAAGTGTTTTCTTGTATTCACTCTCCTCTGTTTAGAGAACCATTAAATGACTGGGTTACAGTGCTACATAAAAGTGATGATCTCACTGTAGTTTTTTGTTTTGTTTTGTTTTACTAAAGAGATATAGTACATTTTCATGCATTTAAAACCCAGAAGGCCAGTTGTGCTCATGAAAAGGAAAGGATAATTAAGAGCTTCCTTCCCTTATATGATGTAGTAAACCACTAGCTTTGCTATAAGCCTAGAAATTGTCATAGTGACTTTGGCTCTTTTCCAGTACTCTCGGTTGGGAGAGTGCAGCTGAGTATTTCCAAAAGGGCAGATAAGATTCAGTGTCTCCCACCTTCCTCAGATCCTCAAGTATCAGAGCAGAGCTGAGAAACATCCCCTTCTTACAAGTGATTTTGGAAAAAAATTCAAATGTGATCATAGAGGATTTTTTTGCTCGTTTGTTTTGGTTGTCTGTATCTTTCATCTGACACAAATTGTAGAAGTTCTTGTTGGGAATTTGTTCCACCCTTGTGCTTAGGGCTGAGCACATTAAGAATGTCTTCATAATAGCTGCAGTCTATGTGGTAATAGCCACGTGTTTCATCAAAAGATCCAAGAATAATAGCATAATATTTTATCATACCTGTCTCAAAACACTTTGCCATATTCCCCTCTCTGTAGGCTATTTAGTCCCCAGTTAAACATACACATACAATTTTGAACAGATATTACAATCTATATTTGGTATGATTTTAAAACAGTGATCAAAGCATCATTTCCCTCATTGAGAACAACTAAACAAAAAAAGATTAATCAATGATGAAATTAACAGTGCAGGGCACAAAATTCTGGGAACCACACAATCACTCATACAGAATAGTTTTCCATGGTGGAGACTGCCCAGTTGTCAATGTACACAGGCAGGATCGTCTCAGGGCTACCTCGATTCGTTCCCATTTCCCCAGGCTGTACATCATATGAACCTGTGCAGAGAATCCAGATAGAAGTGGAAATAATCTTTATAAAAAGATTTTTAAAAAGCCATCTCCAGGGTTTTCAAAGGCTTCCTTCAGAAATACCTTAAATAATTCAAAGGGTTCTGCAATAAGACAGTTCCACTCTAAAATTTAGACGAATTACTAAGTGTTAATTATAATACAATTCACTCTTATGAGCTCTCCATTCTGCTCCTTGCCCATGTCTTACCTAATTAATGTTTCTCTCTGAGCTGGGAGAGCAGTAATTTTCTTGGCTGTTTCCTTACTGAGGGAGTCACTATTCTTTGTAAATCTTGAAGTTCTGCTTCTTTTCTACCAGGAAAAATGTGCAGAGTCTAGGAAAAAATATGCAGAGTGAAATATAAGAACCCTAAGTTCCAAAATATGGTTAAAGTATTGTTAAATCTCAGACTTCTCTGAGGCAGTGCTAAATAATATTTGTTACTTCTGTATTCCATGACTATCATCCATTCGTTGGTCTACCCATCTCTTGGATCATTTGTTCATGTGAAAATATTCATGAAGTATACTTCAACTACTAGGCACAGGATTAGGAATTATAACTCATAAAATTAAGTAAGACACTCTGTGAGGCATTTTATTCATGAGAGACATGGATAAATAAGTCTCGTTTTATTAGAGTCTGACACTGGCACATAAGTTAGGTAGGGCAGGTGTTTTTTCACAGAGTTCACATGTTGGTTACATAAATTGTGCAGTACCTTTTAAAAATAGGGAGTGAAGGACCAAAGCAAGAACAAATCCCGTTTTACAATCTGAAATCTAAAGCTGGGCATGATGTCACATGGGTTGAGGCAGAAGGATCATTGTGAGTTTGAGACCAGCTTGGGCTCAAAGTGAGCTCAAGGCCAGCCTGAACTGCTTAGCAAAACCTTGCCTCAAAAAGGCATAAAAAAAATACCAAATCCATAGGCTACATGGTGCTGATGCCTTTCCTTGAGAAGTTTCTGGAAGCAGCATTGCTGATGTGATTCTTTACTGACCTTTGACATCTGTGTCCTGATACATGAAATATGCTCATCCACAGACAAATTCACTGTATGTCCTAAAAACATCTTTATTTTCTTTATCTGTTAGCAGCAGAAAGGCAAGCATACACTATGCCCCAAAGATTGTTTTTAGAGCTGTGCTTTTTAACAAGAGCAAACTTTAGAATCCAATTAAGCCCCATGCATAGAGGAATCAGACTCATCCCTCAAAGCAAACTAACACACATCTTCCCACTGATGTTATCTCTACCGCATATTTTCCTTTCCTGCAACAGCCCAAATTATTATGGCATTCCCTGCAGAGCCAAATTTTAATATACAGCAAGCCAACTTGTGATAAGGTTGGGAAGGAGATAAAACTAGGTATATATCACTGGCATAACAATACAAGCTGACAGTTTACTTAGAAGTGTTTTAACTAGAGGTAAAATTTAGCCATGGATGGTGGAGAGGCCAGGTCTGGACTAGAAGAGAACATACTTAGTTACTATAATTGCAAACAAGTACTGTCAAGCTTGGGTAGGACTTCACTTCCTCTCCTGTACTTTTTGACCTGTGTGGTGATACATGCTAAAACCTAGAACTGGTTAAAAAACACCTCCACATGCTTGATGTCGTTTGAACATGTTATTCCAGCCAGACTAGTAAGTATCAATATAGGGGCATTGGTTGAAATTACAAGGAAAAACTCTGTCTGTCTGTTTGTCTCTCTCTCTGTAATCTTAGGGGTTATAAGGCTGCCATGTAGAGTTTAACAGAAAGCATTAATTGAATATTTCAAAATAAACAGTAGAAAAGATATTTAATCTTCCTGACACACAGAAATGAGACATGTCAGGTCATAGCTATGCCAATCATCCTGGTCTGATCATTGCATACTGTATCTATGCAGCAGAATATCAAACTGTATCTCATAAATAGGTACCATTACTATGTGTGAATAAAAAATAAAAATATAAAGTGAAAAGGGTCTATGTGAGAACTAAGACAGTATTGAGAAATCTGAGTTGAAAACTGGAGAAAACTGAGTTCTAATTCCTATTATGAATAGAGATCCCGGACCTCAACACATCTAAAGTGAATAGAATATCTGCACTATTCAGAAACTTAAGCAAATAAATTTCTGTTCTTTGTTTTTTTTCTTTTTGCTCCTCTTTAAGAGAGATCAGTACAATTTTGATCACTAACTACCAAGAATTTGATTTTAGGAAAGCGGCAATCAATTTTTCTTCTTAGTGATTTTGTAGCTCTGTCCAAAAAATTATAGATTATTAGGACGGTGTTGTATGTCTGTGCCTACAAAATTATAGATTATTTGGAGGTAGTGACCCATGTATCCTTATCTGTGCAATACACAAATTTTAGCTTTGCCTTTTTTCCTTGATGTGTAGAAAGCAACTGAAATCTGTTTTTGGGAAACATAGCTTAAAACAATTTAAATTTACCATTTAATGAAAGTGAGGTTTACTATGAAATCCTGAGAGCAGAGACTATTAACTGCTTGCGAAGTTAATGGCTTTTTCAGTTGCTATAATAAAATGCAATCTTTTATTTTTAAAGATCACAGGCATTTAAAATCATCTAATAAATATGGTATACTGATTTCATCACAATACTCCTCTCTGTTACTCATAATCCCTTTAATCTTGCTAACTTCTCTGAAAAAACCATCTAAAGTTTTAGTCAGATTTCTGATGGATCTAGTTTTATATGGTTTGCTTAATATTGAGAACTGAGAAAGGAGGAATCGTTATCAAAAGTAACAGCTTCCAGAGACCTGTATCTGAAATCACCAAGACAGATGTAGTTTCTCAACTGACTTTTCTTTTTCTCTTAATCTACCCCTTCATTCAGCAGTAACAACAGATTTTGAGAAACTAAAGACTTGTACACACAGCTCAGCAAGATGCATTCTCACTGTGCAGTATCTAATCGCAGAGAAGAGCCAGAATATCAATTATGAAATGCCATCATATTTTTCATACTTTAAAGTCTCAGTGACATTTTTAATGCTTTTGTTTGAAAGCATCATCTAAATTAAAGATTGAATTTTGAGGGTATGCAGTTTAAACTTGAAATTAGTTTGTAAGGCAAATATGTAGGTTTGCTTCGTTTTTCTAGCCTGTAAGCACTTACAGTATTTCTAACATTGCACTTCTCGCTGTGCACATCTATAATACATTTTCTCAATCAATTTTCACAACATTCCATGAGGTCAGCACCCACCTTGCCCCATACCCTGCCCCTCCAGGCCATCTCAGGGCTGCGATGGGGGTGTCTACGGTGGCTGGGATGTTCCAAACCTTTTCAAGAGGTTCCAGGATAGGGAGCACTTGCCACTTCCCAGTCTAGAGTTCACAATTTCTGGATTTTCTTCCAAATGAGTAGTTTGGACAGCCTAGGGGGCAGGGTGGAGACCTAAGCCTACACAATGTTACCTTCTCTAACCCTCATGAAGCCAGTCGAGAGTAGCAGCAGGTCTCAGTACCATGTGCTTTCCCAGGGCTCCAGCAAAAAGCTAAGCCCCTCCTACAGAAATCATACTCTCCCTTTTGACACAAACTTTTGTCTGCGATTTAATCCCCTTCTAGATTTCCTCCAGATAATTCTTAAGGCAAAGGTAATTCAATGACAAGGAATCATTTTCCTTGTGATGTTGTTACGTTAAAGCAGTAATCCTTATTATTAAGGCACTGAGGTAGAGCCTAATTGTACATTTTATTTTGTTTTGACACAGGATCTCACGCATAGTCCAGGCTGGTCTTGAACTCACCATGTGGCTTAGGCTGGCCTTGAATTTAAGGCAATCCTCGTGTCTCAGCCTCCTAAATGCTAGCATTACAGGGGTGCACCACCTTGCCTGGTTTAACTGTGCATTATTTGACACAGACCTTTGTTTCTTCCTGGCTAGAATCTTACCTTACTTCTTCCTCTTGTGGTTAAAAGAATAAAAATCATATGGTAGCCATGCCTGCTTTCTCTTCTTGTTTATCTTTGCGTCTCCCTATGTCCCAGGCAGTCTCCACGGTTCTCTTTTACTAGAACAACTGCTGTTAATTTCCCCTAGTTAATCCTAATTACCCACCTGTAAGACAAGTGATTCCTCTGAGGTCTCTCAGTAAATTCCCATAATCCAAATGAAGACAATGGAATTCCGAGTCGTTGGCTCAGTGGCTAGTAACAGAAGAGCTAAATTTGAAATCAGAACTATTTTATTCCAAAGCTCAGATATTTTCCTCATACTCTGTGGCACTGTTATGTTTGCTTCATTTACGGTTGAATTAGAAAATTAAATTGTAAGGGGATGGGCATTTTAAAATTATTTAACATGAATCATCCCCTATGGCCAATTATCCTGCTGTGGAACATTATCAACAACTATAAATTAAATGAGTTTGTTCACACATTATCATATTTTTCACCTAAAATTGATTTTTTTCTATCCACTTTTTTTTTAGTAAGAATCAATCATTTCACATAGCCTTGCAATTTTTAAGAAAATTATGCTACTTTTACATAATGATCTTGTCAAATATTACTCTCCAGGGAAGAAAAAAAATCAAATGATAAATAGTGTAAAAGGTTAATAACATTTTTTAAAAAATAACTTCTGCCTTTGGTTCAGCTTATGCGTTTTTGTTGGCAGTGGTGTCTGTAAACATAACTGTCAGGGACGCCCCATGGTACGGGCCAAGTACCCAATAGCTACAGTTAGCACTGGAAGCCGAAACTATTTTTAAGGCTATCTATATTTTGAATTTTTCTTACTGCTTGTTTTATGAAAAGTTTTCTTGAATGAACAAGATTCTATTTTATTTGAGAGATTTTTAGGATAACTTAATCACACAAATGATGATTGTTTTATTCTAAAGTACAACTTCCGTTTCTGTTAGATCAAAGTTATTGCTAAAGTGCCTCTTTGCAAGTGTCTAAGAGTTATATTTGTATCAGTTTTTGCCAATAACTCCCACTGAAGGCTTCCTTTACTTTCATGTGAAGTGTTTTTTTTTTTCAGGTTAGCCTTCTAGCCAGTCTGTGAGAGGACTTGGTGATATTTATTTGCTGATTCAAATGGTTTGTGCACTATGATGGCTGAGGAACTGTGCTTGATACTGGGGATAAAATGGCAAGCAAGACTAAGTCCCTGTTCTCTTGAGGTAGTAAGCAACTACCTCACCCACTACATTGCATTTTGGGGAGAAAGATGAGAAACTGAAAGGCAAAACATTGATGAAAATAAAGGCTGAGTTCAGAGCTCTAGATTGTCTGGGTTTGATCATTTCGTGCTTTAAAAATATGCCCTTTTTATAACAAGCATCCTGAATCTTGGCCCTTGTACTCTTATTGTACCACAAAAATACAATTTTGTCTTCCACACTGAATGGAAAACTTGGCCAAAGCAGGTAAAATTAGTATAGATCATGTATCTGTTTCTTTATTCTAACAAACACATATTAGTTCCGTTAGATCACATGGAAAGGGCAGAGTTGTAAAGATTAGAGAAAGACGTGCCAAGGAGGATGCAGTAGATCAACCATCTTATTTAAGTAAATGTAAAATATTATAAAAGTCATTTTCAAAACCATCTGAGAGCTGTCAAAGGAAGAAAGATAAGGCGAATTAAAATTCTAGAGCAAGAACAATTCTGACGATATGTGGTTGTCAGCTATTTTCTTCTCAGGGCATTTGTCAGTTCCTGGGAATTCACAGGAACTGAGCCTGACCCAGGAAAAGGGACTCTGCTGGAAAACGAGAAACCAGAAAAACTTTTCTTATATTCTGTGGAGCTCTGGAAACGGGAGATTTCAAGAGCATGACTGGTTCTTCTTGTACTGAACTCTCCCACAGTCTCACAGGACCTATCCAAATACATGTGCAGTTTTTAAATTCTGAAAACATTTATCAAATCTTAAAATAGCATAGAGCAAGAAGCTACAAAATTACTCAAAAACTTCTGAAACGTATCCCCTGCAATTTTTTAGTGCTGAGGAGACAAAGAATACCCAGCTTGCAATGAAAAGCAGGTTGAGTCTTACTAAAACCTGACCCTCACAGCTAATCCCAACTGTACTGAAGGGTTGAGCATCTGTAGCGTGTCCACTAGACGTCTATCAGTCTTCTCGAGTAACCATAACAAAATAGCTTATTTCTCAGTTTTGGATTTCTGAGAAATCCAAGGTCAAAATTTTGGCAGTTCACTTCCGGGTTAGGGAACTTCCTCCTGGCTTGCAGATGGCTTCATTCCTGCCACTTTCTCTTAGGCCTTTCCTTGGTGTGTGACCTGGAGGTGGGAAAAGAGAGGGAGAGAGGAGGACAGGAATAAAATGGGTAGAAAGTTTTCTTCTTGTAGGCCACTGTTCCTCTGAGATTAAGATCCCACACTTGTGGGCTCATTTAACATTAATTACTTTCTTGGAGTTCTTATCTGCAAATCTAGTCACACTGGGGTTTAGAGTTTTAACATGTGAATTTGGGAGAACACAATTTAGTCCACGGCAGGAAAGAAAATTTTCTTGTGGAATATAATAATGTGTGGAAACTTTATGTGTCCTTTGTACACAGCATCCTACTTCCAAACAGGAGTTGCTGGCCATGCTAAGAGGCAAGGTCATATGATCCATGAACAGGGGAGAATAAATAACAAAAGCAAGTAGATGATCCACATATTTGAAGTTGACACACAACAATTTTAAAATAGCTATAATTGGTAACTTTTATAACTGCCTTGACTACATTCCTCTATATATGTCCTATGATAAAATCTGACAAGAAAGGATTTGCAAAACCATGTCTTTTTAATAAGCTGAAAATAGATAAGGTTAAAACGTTACTGTGACTATAACTGAAAAGAGGAAGTAACTATATTCCAAAGTAAGATCTCCTGTGTCTGTTTGCTCCTTGTCCTGTATGGATTGCACCCTGACTAACGGTGCACTGAGACAAACTCCAGGGAAGTCGAGATGAGAAGGCAGTGAAGGGGCTGAGGTTTCATCAGAAACTACCACAGAAAAGGCTAAGTTCACCGTTTCTGTGTAACTACGGTAACAGCGTCTAGCAGAGCACAGCATGAACCACAGGGAGACAACTTCAGAGTAGGTATCATAACAGGGTCAGGAGATACGTGAAAGGAATTGTTCAAAACATTTTATTAAAGGAAGAAAGAAATGAAGAGGCAAAGGAAAGCACCCTTTGCAATTGGATAATGAAAAGGAGCAAAAGGTGTCCATTCTAGGGGCTGCAAGATCAGACACTCAGTACTGGAGGTCTCAGCGTTTCTCCCACAACTGAAAGGTGTGAACTAATGATACCTAAAATGTATGCACCTTGTTTATTGCAGGATGTCATTAAACTAGAAGTCTTACAGGCCATCACAATACCAAAAAATAAAAGGAAGTATCAACAAATTTATGTAGAACCATTGAAAAGAATCAGGAAAGAAAATGTTACAGTGTCAGCTGAGTGATGGCCCTCACACTCCATAAGACAAATCCTGAAGTAGAAAAATGTCTTAAGTACACACATCCAACAAAATGTATATGATCATCCAAACATTTGAGAATATGATTGTCTTAGTTACTTTATGCTCATTGCTGAGACAAAATACCTGAAGCCCAAAGTTGGGAAAGGAAAGGTTTATTTCTTACAGTTTTTGGAGGTTTCAGTCCACACTCAGCTGGCTCCAAGACAGGCAGGCATGGCTGGGCCACAGTTCATGGTGGCTGCAAACAGCAAAAAGGAACCAGCAAAGAGCAAGACACACCTTCTTCCTGCCATTACATCACATGCTGGCTCCACCGCTTTGTGGGTGGAGCACTGACACCATCAATACAAGCACTAGACAATGAACCAATCACAAATGCACAATTCAAACTCCTGAGGCCTGGGGACCACAGACATAAACCATGACCGTGATAGAAACACCTTGAATCAGAAGTTTAAAAACCTAAGAATGGAAATGGATAAAACTGGAAGAATTAAAAACAGACTTGACTGAACTCAGGAAGGAAAGGAAAAAGACAAAGATAGCTGAGAAAGAAAGAATAAGTGACAAGGTGCTTGAGAAAGATTAAATACACTTGGAAATTTAATACACACATGAAAGGCAAAAGAAAGCAAATTAAAAGAAAAGTAAAATGGGGACAGAGAATTAGAAATGAAAGCAAAGACTACAAAAGGAAAGTATCGATATCGCCTTGATTATTGATGCAAAAACACTATATAAATGCTGGTAAACACAATCCAATGCTAAATTAAGAACTATGCCATGATGAAGTTATGTTTATTCTAGTAATGCCAGGTTTTTTAAATACCAGGAAATTCATTAATATCATATATTATCTCACTGACTCTGAAGGAGAAAACCGCACTGGCTTATCTTCATAAGTGCTGAAAATACCCATGATAAGATTCAAAGCCCATTACATCAAATATAGTAAAAATTAAGCATTTAAGAATACTTTCTAAATGTGATACAGTTTATATGGGTGTGCAACTACAAACACATCAATAGCAACCTAGCATGTTATTTAAGGGGAGACACTGGAAGCATTTCCACTAATGGTAGGCATATTATCTTTTCCTGTTTAACATTCTAGTAGTTGTCAGCCAGTGTAGGAATACTATAAAAATAAAGTACTAGTACACAAATAAATTTAAAGGGACTATCTCTATATGCAGACTGTAAAATAGCATATCTGGAAAACCTTAGAACATTGTAGGAGTTCAAATAACTTGAAAGACATAGCTTGCAAATTAACATACAAAAGTCAGTAGCCTTCAGTGACATAGTGGGCTGCTATAAGAAAATACTATAAACAGGGTGGTTTGATAAACTATAGAAATTCACTCACAATTCTGAAAGCTGGCAAGTCTGAGATCACGACACTGCCAGATTTGGTGTCCAATTTTCCAGAAAGTCAGTGGCCTAGAGACTTTGTTCCTAAGAATTGGATTCAGAGTACTCAGTGATCCAGGTATTTGATTCCTACAGCCAAAAAGCATGGTAGTGGCATAAAAACAGACACATAGACCAATGGAATGGAATAGAGAGACTAGAAGTAAACCTATAAACCTATAGGCATTGACTTTCAATAAAGCTGCCAAGAACACAATTGGAGAGAAGACTGTCATTTCAATTACTGATGCTGGCAAAATTGGATACCGATTGGGGGTTGGGGATTTAGCTTAGTGGCATAAGCGCCTGCCTTGCAAGTGTGTGGTCATGAGTTCGATCCCTAGTACTGATAAAAAAAGAAAAAGACAAAAAAAAAAAACCCCACAAAATTGGATACCCACATGCTGAAGAATGAAACTTTCACCAGTGTTATTATTTGTGTCTAGATATTCCCCTAAAGCTTCCTGAGGTCATGGGGCTTTTTCAGAGGTGACTGAATCTAGAGTGTATGATGCTGGGGTTAAGGGTATGCAATTACTAAGTCAGTTCACTGATTGCTTTGGCACTGCCCTAATCCAGCTGTTCTGGATAAAATAAAAGGCGCAGAAAGATGCTGTTAAGGTCCATCATTGCTTTGCTACTATCTGCCAGCCGTGAGCTGTCCTCTGTGTTGCGCCTCTGCCAAGCCAGTCAGCCTTAGGGCCAACCAATTATGAACTGAAACCTCTACAAATTGTCAGCCAAATAAAGCTTTCCTCCTTCAACTTTGGGTGCTGTGTATTTTATCTCAGCAATGAGGAATGTAACTAAGAAAAAAATCCTATGCATACATTAAATATTTAAATTTAAGACTAAAACCATAAAACTACTAGAAGAAAATGTGGGGAAATTCTTAAGAAAT